CGTATCAATTGACCATCCTTCGTCGATCGGTCGCATGCTCCGACCCGATCAACCATCTTCAACCCACTCGACTGATCGACTACCACCAGTCCGGTTGATAGGTCAATCATTTACCCATGACACATTTGTGCATGCTTTCTTCACATTGTCTGCATTAGCACATCTACACTCGCACCCTGTCGTGCACTTGTGAGTGTGTCCTCACACGCTCGAAGTGAGTATTTGTGCCTCTCATTAGCACAATTCTATGCACTTGCTTTGTGACATCCTTATGTCACTTCACATCACATCACGCGTGTTCACATTTGCACTATCTACTCTTTCATGTTTGTTTTGCATAGCACCCCGTATGTTCATGGCTTGCATGCTGGAGGTTTTCCCGAGTCACTGCTCCTCGCACTCTTTCAATTCCTATGGAACTATTTCAGACTATCGTCGGTATTTTCTCGAGTCACTGCTCTCACACACTCGCCTTCGACATTCACGTCCTTTCAGAGACGACATGCACATCAAGCCTATCTGGTACGTGATTCTGCCTATTGAGAATTATATCACCGCTTTTCCTATGGTATCACTTATACTTACCATATGTATGCCATATCATTTTACTTGGCACGGATCATGCTCCAAAGGCCTCTAAATCCTCTGAATATATGATGCCTGTCTGCTTGAGCACATGGCTACCACCTAATATGGATCACGCTCCAAATGCCTCTAAATCCATTCGATGTGCAAGTCGTGTCGCCTATGGCACTACCGCAGTATGTCATATGTGTGTCATATGTCTTGAGTTTTGCATTTGCATTTTTGAACTGTCGGCGCATTCGTTATGGGTATATGCCACCATATGCTTATAATGAATGTTTGATATCCTAAGATTACCTCTACCTTGCTAGAGTGATCACCACGTACTGGACCACTTCGCAACTGCATGTGCATTCACGATTTTCTCATTGATGAAGCTGGCTCGTTAGCTGAGTGACCCGTTGTTGATCACGATGTGTTATCAGCTATCACACCGTGATTAGCACGTGTACATTATGCTAAGATTCAAAGGGGTCTAATAGATGTCACTTAAGCTTTTCCTTCTTGGGATATATTTTAAAGTAAAAAAAAAAAATCTATATTTTTATTAATTTAATGCATCATATTTTCAACACCTATTTTAAAACTATTTACAAGACTTAATTTAGACCATATATAAGGTCAACCTTTTTAAAGCCTATGTTTATACAAAAATTGCATTTAGTGACACCCCTTAGAATCCTTGGATCATTAGGATGGGGTCGGGGATGGTGATCCCGCAGAAACATACACCAGCCTTTTACCAACACCTACACTGCAAACACTTAGATGTTGTGACTATGACACTATACACTAGATATTGTGTTAGGCTAAGACTAGAGTGCTAGATAGTTTTTTGATGTTATGACTATAGTTCTCTACTGGTTTGGTTGCCCTAGTCAGAATCATTTTCTTGTCTTTTTTTTTTGTTTATTGGGTGTAAGACTTGCACACTGGTATGTTAAGGGCGGCTTTCTTACAATGAGTCATGTCCAACAAGGAGGAGCTTATAATAATTCACAATGACGCATTTTCTGCAGATACTGCTTGGCTCTCCTCCCACCAAACATGGTTAACTAAATTACTTGCATGTAGAAAGTTTTTACACTAACATGATTTTTGTACGGGTCGAGTCTTTTTTACTTTTCTCATATACTTTTTAAAGTTCTTAAAAGATTTTGTATTAGAAATAAAGTACGGGCAAATGTTCAGTGGCGCTAGGGGGTGGAACCATGTGACGAGGATCAGGAGTTTTTTACTCGTGTCTCGTATCTTAATTTTAAATCTCATTCATGTATAGAATTAGGATTGGATGTGTATATGCGATGTTTGGCCACCTTTTTATTTTCTTGGATATGTTGCTGACCCAATGAAACCCTGTCTTTTCTTGTTCTTTTAATTTGACTGGTTTTACATTTCTACAGTGTGACTGACTTGGCTTACAGTCTGAGAATCCTGTGAATATCACTTAGGCTCTCAAAGGACCTAATATTATAAAATTTCTACAAAAATCCTAATATGAGATGAAGACTAATCAAAATTTAGAATTAAATACTTTAAAATTTTCACAATCAGTACTTACTTACTGCAAGGCCTTCGGACCGGATTTTAAACGAATTGTATTGCATGGCTCTCACCGAAGGCAAACTAATAAGGCCTCCACATTATGATTGATTAGCTCACTAGATCCTTTACATGTCCCGAGGAGAAGCCCCGTGCTTCTTCAACCCGCCTGACCAAGCATAAAATTTATACTTAGGTGGTTGTCTAGTGTGCTTAGAATATTAGAGGTTTCCCTAATCCAGAAGAGGAGTAAGTACTTTAAGAGAGTGTTCCGGCTTCGTAGCCATATACCTTTTTCCACTAGCGGTTTCCTCTCCACTTAGGCAGATATAAGTCCCACCTCTATTTTCCATCTACATAAAATCATGGAATTTAGAGTTTCCTTCTCTTCACCTTAGAGCTACCAAAGTCTCCTTGGATGATGCAATTCATGAATTGTTGACAAGGGTTCTCCATTTGTGTTGGTACAACTACATTCACGACCAGGTAAACTTAGGGTCTTAATAGTTTGGGATGACAGATATGTGGTATTCTGACTCGGCTATCTTTACCCGATTAGGACTACTCTGCCCTCCTTTGCTTGCCCAAATTGAGCTCTATAGCTCCTTTGACGCTTCATTGACGTCCTCTCGTAATCCACGATTGCAGATAGGCCGCCGCCCATTTAAGATACAGTGATTCACCCTCAACTCTTATAATCCGGCTAAGCCTTGGAAGCATAGTGTGGACTCTACGAGTCGACGTAGTTATTTCATAAGTATCATTATTTGATGAGTCGTTACCCATTTGGGATAGTGAGAGATTCACCTTCTGCCCTATGACTTAGTGAGAGCTCTGAAGGCATTAGGCTGCTCCTATGAGATAACTATTATTTGTACTATCACTAGTCATCACTTGAATGTAAGCAAGACTTCTTTAATTGAGAGTATTCTTGTGCATTCCATAAAATGCAATTAACCAAACGAGATACGTCCCTTTGGGAGCTGGTCTTGACCCCAGACAAAAACATTCTTTTTGGTTCTCTGGTTACATGGGTAGTTTATGTAAATTTTCATTCATAGATATTCGATTCAAGGTGTCCTAATCTGATCATGTTTGGACGTACACCCTTGACCTATAGCATGAGGTTTACCTCACATAAGCTTTCCAGGTTCTTTTCAAATTTATCTGTCAAGTCTCCGTCTTAATTCTTTCATTTCTGGCCCCTCCTCTGCTTTGAATCATTCATGCGATTCAAGTGAGAGGGCTAGTTGGGAAAGGGAATCCTAAGATGAGCACTAGACAAGCTGGCGACTCCGATTTACAAAAAAAAATTGAAACACTACGTAGCAAGTTTTTCCTCACTCTTTTCTTCTAAATAATTTGTTATTTATCTTGAGATTATTATTGATATTAGTCAAACTTATAACAATAGGGTTTCACTTTGAGGTAAGAATCTTAATAAACCTTTATTGTTTGGTGGTTTCAATTTATTCACTAAATTTATAGACTGTAAGTGATCATTGAATTATTATTAGTTGCAGATTTTTCATATTTTTTGGTTTATATCAAAAGATCGCAACTTTTAATTTTAAAACTTGATTTTTGGAACCATGAACTTTAAATTTGATCATTGAGATTTTATCTTTTATATCATCTAGTTGAATTAGGAATCATACACCTCAAGACATCCAACACCACTCAACCTTCTTGAGCTTCTCAATTTTTAGAGGTTTTGGGAGGGAGGGAGGGAGGGCGCGTGTGACAAAATAAGAGGAGACCATGTAGGTTAGAGAGGAAACAATAAGCAAATAGGTAAGAGAGAGCAGCAGGCAAGACTTCAAGGAAGAGAAATATCATTTGATTGATGATAAGAAAAGAGCTGCAAAAACCTTTATTTATAGCCATAAGAAGTCAATAGAAAAACTGAATATGTAAATAGATTATATGATAACTATTGGACCCTATTTAAGCCCTCGATACATGGATAGAGCTTTAAATTATCCTAAAGCCTTCCTTTGAACAAGACCTGCCCAGCCATGCATGGATAAACGGGATATCTTGACTTTCTTCATCCTGCTTTCTCTTGACACCAAACTAGCTGAAGAGATTTCAAAATCCAATTTGTTTCTTCTTGCCTTGGCCAGACTCCTAAAATTTAATGGTGCAACTTGCAATTAAGTCCTCTTCAACTCAAGCACCCCTACATATTTAGATCCATAGGATTTTCTTTTTGCATGTTCAGATCCTTCTGCTGAATCTGAGTTGGGTTTTGGATTGAGCTTGAATTTGGCTTGGCATACTTTAATGTTGAAGCCTCCTGGAGAAATGTCCCAGGAAAGATGTGCGATGCAAAATTTGTAAACTATAACTCTTTTACTCATAATTAACACTGGCTAAAGCTTAAAGGTGCAATCATCATGAAGGACGCATCCACCACTTGCCTTTGCTGATACAAAGCAAAGTCATTGTCAGACAAGATGGCCCCAGTTTCTATATTCTTTTGTAACTTTTAACATTTCCTAATCTTATAGTTAAAATAGCATGGCTTGACCAGGAAATTCAAAGAAGGTAGCATGGAATGCAGCAAATTCACCATACGCCATGAGGTGGTTTTTAAGGAAATTTACATTCTGCTTTCATCATATGCCAATAGGATATTGTTTTAAATTGATGAATAAAAAAGTGTATTTCACTTTAAAAAAGTTAGGAATGTGATATTTTTGAAGTAATAATAATGATTTGAGTGTTATGTATGTAAATATCAAAGTTTAGGTGTTAAAACATGTAAAGATATAAGATGCCCGTAAGCGTCCCATTAATTTTATAGGAAATTTATCTTCCTACAGCAAGGGTAGTAAGCACTATAAATAATACGAAAATGATTACAGAACCTGGATGTGCTTATATTTTTTGTGTCTAGCAGCCATAATCAGTCCATCTTCAGTACATGCTGTAATCTCCAAAATGCCATCAGGAAAACTATCATTGTCAATCACAAGGATATAATATCTAGCAGCACTAAAAGTGCTGAAAAAAAGAAAAGATTAGATGTCAATAAAATGACATAATTATTCACAAATAAAATGCTAATATATAAACTATATAAAAATTGGGCTCAACAAATAACATAACATTGTAGAAAAGCAATAAAAGAAAAAAAAAAACAAAAGAAAAGCATGTAAAAGGAACAATTAGAGTAAAACCATTACTTCGGCGAGACAGAGAATCAATTATGCTCTGGTTTCTCATCATAATAAACAAACGAACCTTTACCATGTACAAAACCATAAGGAGATCGCACAAATTTCCCTGCAGATCAATAGCAAGATTAAATATTGCGTCATTTCCAAAATGGAGCATGAATTAACAAATATCCATACCTCCAAAGGCCTCTCCAATGCACTGCAAGCCCATACAAACTCCTGTTGACCTCAATTTTTCGTGAGGTTTAGTCTTCCGCTTAGGGTTTAGGATCTAGCCTTAGGAATCTTCCTTCGACTATCTTAGAACCTTAGAAGTGGGACCCGCATCGTTTTAGTTCAACCCGCTTCCGTCCCCTTCTGGGGTTTCGCGTGTGTGGTATCAACTTCTAGCACTTAGAAGGGCGAAACCAACAAGAGGAAACCCAAAAGGGATTCCCTATAGGACCTTCCTGAGCCTTAGGGTGGCCTTTTGCACAATTCGCACTCCCGCGCGCACAAGCTTCGCAATTCGGAGAGTCGATACGTCCGATCGCCGCAATTCGCATTGCCTGCATTGTTACTTGTCGAATGCTCAATTAAACCTTTTGGGACAATCGATCGCGGGTCGAAATTTTGTAAAATTTGAGTTTCGGCGCGTTTTTGACCCGATTGTCGACGACGTCGTCCGAGCGACCCCGGATGACGAAATGGACTGCGCCAACGCGCCCGGAACGTCGATTTTGC